TTCTATTGACAAATAAGATAACAAATAAGTACTCAATAAAAAAAAATATTGTTAAAAACATTTATTAATTTGAAATATTCTTAAGAATCGATAGTTAAGTTCCGCGTATCCCAACCACCGATGGACAGATGATGCGAATTATATAAAAGCCTGTAAAAAAGCCAAAGATCGGATGTTTCACTCATGTTGAAAGTTGGTTTATGAATAGAAGAAATAAATCAACTGTAACATTGTTGTACTTAAAATTTGTTTATTATTAATTACATGTAAATCTTCAGTCGTATTAAAAAAGAACATTCATATTTCATGATGTACATTCAGTTCTCAAAAGAATTACAAAACTTTGCCAGAATATGGTAATTCTTAAGGCCATCAATTATTTCTAGAAAATGTTGACAAACATAAAATATTTCTATATCGCTACATATTATATGGGGTACTCATTTGCATACAATATATATATTTGATTAAACTTATCTTACGCTACATGTTTTTTTTAAGTTAATAACTTATGCCTTAGAATACTCCAGTACAAGCTGTTATTATAATTTTGTATTTTTTAAATATTTTTAATACTGAAATATTTGTAATACAATTTAACTATGCGATACAAGCAATACAATCATTTCCGAGAAAAAAATTCTTATTTTGTCGAATAAATAATTATCGTTAATTATTTAACAAACACGTTTTATTATTACACATTTAGAATCAGAACTTAATCTTTACTTTTTATAGTGATTTTCTTTCTCAATCGTATTAAATTTATTTATATTTTGTCAATAAATATACTATCAGTCATCCACATTGTAGATCTACATCGTCAATCGTATGAAAGACCCATAGAGATTATCTGGTGCTACATCTCAAAATTCGCCTAAAAACGTACTCGCAAATAGTTTAAAAATCAATTTTCTACATTTTCCGGAGATAAAATACGAAGTTTCACAAACTTACGCAACATCCAGCCTGACATAGCATCCACCAAACCTAACCTCAATCCACACGTAGGTGGGACACCAAAGTGGAACTAGAAAACGCCATTCTTAAGCCTCGGGTAGGTTAGTGGCCAAAACGCGAAAGCCATCCCTGTCAGCAATGTAGTGCACCTGTTGCAGCAACCCATTGGCATCTATGTAACTGTAAGCCCCTCGAGTCGTGCCATCGAGGGAGCGGGACTCGGTTTTCGCGCTCGTGTCCCCGGTGTAGCTGTACTCGTACTGTCCAAGCGAGTCCTGGCTGTGCCTCATCGAGCTGTGAATCAACGGAAGGGGCATCACCAGCGGCAGAGCCGCGGCAGTTGGTATAAGCTGGTAGTGGTGATGGGCACTGGCCGAGGTGGCGGTGAAGCGACGCGGAAACTCGACATCGGCGTTACTAGGACCACTAGCACCACCTGCAGCTGCGGACTCGGCGACGATGGCGTTGCTAGGCCGTGGGGCTGGTGGGATACTACGGGCCTCCTCGGAACTTAGTAGAAAAGGACTCCTGGACTTTTGTGATCGGGACACTGGCTGCTCAGCCTCGTGGTTGTAGTTGTCCTGTTCCGGTTGCTGCTGCTGCTGGTGGTGGTATTGACGTTGGAGCCACGGTTGCTGCTGGTTCTGCCAAGACTCGACTCGGTGCAGCTGGTCAAGATGGCGTCGCTTGGCCAGGGCTACCTCGGGCGTGTCCTCCACTGGACTCAGGTTGTCACGGCCAGGCATGTTGCTCGCGTGGACTTGGAAGCCCTTCTCGGCATCGGCCGTGTAGGAGACAGTCTGCATCAAACCGTTTGCGTCGATGTACGAGTAGCCTAAAACGAAATTTGTTTTGTTTTTTTTTTTTTTTTTCCTTTCAAAGCTCAAAAATGTTTATGGATGAAAATTTTCAGTAAGTAGCTAGTTTAGTTTGCGCATCGCGGGTGATTGATTTTTCTAAAGAAATAATACTTATATGGTATCACTAGCTAAAGGTTTTACTCTTTGTGCTCTAGTTTAATAATTAATTTGTATCATCATTCAAAATTCAATTATATCCACTGCTAAGAGAAAGTTATTTCTTTCGTGAATTTTGTATTTCAATAGTTTCCCTACCGGAAATAATTTTTTTCGAGTAATTGGTAATAAATACTTTCAACAATAAGTTAAAAACAAAAAAAATTAATGACAATTCATGTACTGATAAAACTTACCATTCACAATTATCTGTTACTAGTTATTGTTGGAACTTAAGAATACTTATCAGATATTTTATTTGTTTTTGTTCTCGAGATTGATTTATACAACAAATACCCACAAATAATACTATTTTGGAAAAAATCTAGTGCCCTCATCTTTGCATATTAAGGGCTGAAATTTTCAGAGTTTTTAGTTTAATATGTGAACTTTTTATAAAAAAATACTAGTACAACATATTCACTTCGTATTATTTGGAAACTCAATGGCAAGCAAAACATACTTGGGGCACACTCCTTCGCTGGCAGTACCTGTAAACTGAGTTCTGTAATGTAACACTGTGATCGATTAGAAATAAATCAAATAACTTTTATCGTATTTCCTTAGTTAATAGATTTAGACATTGTTAATTTATGTGATGTAAAGTTTTGAAAATTGAAAAGCAGATCCTCAAATTTTATTACTTCACATGCTTGTTATATTTTGAATCATGGAATGTACCTTTTTTATTGTTCTCAAGTGTTTTGATTTATAAAGAATAAAATCGGGCGTCGTTAATATTACATATTGTTATGAACAATTAAGTAGCTTGCCTTATTACTACATCATCACCTACTTTTTAATTAATTAGTAAAAGCGTACCTCATCAATTATAACACATTTTGGTTTTTATTTTTAGTACTTAACACTAAACCTTGAAGAGTCTATATCCTCTGAATGAACAAGCGCACACAAGTTGATCGAGAATCGATCCAAGACAAACTCTTGATACTTTTTGTGTGTTATTATTTTTTTATTTTCTATTGACAAATAAGATAACAAATAAGTACTCAATAAAAAAAAATATTGTTAAAAACATTTATTAATTTGAAATATTCTTAAGAA